TTATGGACCAAACACTAACAAACAATCATGATTATGGACCAAACACTAACAAACAATCATGATTATGGACCAAACACTAACAAACAATCATGATTATGGACCAAACACTGACAGGTTTCGCCCGACACCCCGCCAAAGTTCAAAATTTCCTACCAACAGAAAATGTTTGGTGTATCCAGCGCTCTCGTATGACGTTGTGCTGTTGCAAGCACCCTAAAACTCTTACAAATGAACAACAAAAGCAATCACTGACAATCATGATCGCAGACCAAACACTAACAATCAGGATTACAGACCGAACAGTAACAAGCAATCATGAATACAGACCAATCACTAACAATCATGATTACATAATAAACACTGACAATCGTGATTACAGACCAAACACTGACAATCATGATTACAAAGTAAGCCCCTGACAATCATGATTACAAAATAAACCCTGACAATCATGGTTACAAAATAAACCCTGACAATCGGGATTACGAAATAAACCCTGACAATCGGGATTACGAACCTTGACAATCATGATTACACAATAAACCCTGACAATCATGATTGCAGACCTGTCGCTGCCGCCGGGCCCCGTGGACAGAGAGGTGGCCATCAGTATCTCCCAACTGCTGGTGGACCGACAGTTTATCCTGGACACAGACTCGGACTGCTCCAGTGAGTTATGCGGATGTTAACCCTTACAGCCCCAGCCCTCTATATTCCCCTCACAAGTTCTCCTTTCCCTAGACCCAGTTGTGTATATTTCCCTCTCAAGTTCTCCTTTCCCTAGGCCCAGTTGTATATATTTCCCTTACAAGTTCTCCTTTCCCTAGGCCCAGTTGTGTATATTTCCCTCTCAAGTTCTCATTTCCTTAGCCGGAGTAATGTATAATTCCCTTATGAATTCTCTTATCCCTAGGCCCAGTTGTATATATTTCCCTCACAAGTTCTCATTCCCCTAGCCAGAGTAACGTATATTTCCCTTAGAAGTTCTCATTTCCGTAGCCCCGGGCATGTATATTTCCCTCACAAGTTTTCCTTTCCCTAGGCCCAGTTGTATATATTTCCCTCACAAGTTCTCTTTTCCCTAGGCCCAGTTGTATATATTCCCCTCACAAATTCTCCTTTCCCTAGGCTCAGTTGTATATATTCCCCTCACAAGTTCTCCTTTCCCTAGGCCCAGTTGTATATATTTCCCTCTCAAGTTCTCCTTTCCCTAGGCCCAGTTGTATATATTTCCCTCTCAAGTTCTCCTTTCCCTAGGCTCAGTTGTATATATTTCCCTCTCAAGTTCTCCTTTCCCTAGGCTCAGTTGTATATATTTCCCTCTCAAGTTCTCCTTTCCCTAGCCAGAGTAACGTATAATTCCCTTATGAATTCTCATTTCCCTAGCCCCAGTCGTGTATATTTCTTCATGAATTCTCTTTCTCCTAAGCCCAGTTGTGTATATTTCCCTAACAAGTTCTCCATCCTGTAGCCCCCCTGTCTTGTATATTTCCCTTACAATAAGTTCGCGTTCTTTGAGGCCCAAGTGAGTTTGTTTCAATTACAGAGCGCTAGCCACCCCCAGACCAGTCAGTATTTTTATGGTAGTTTATTCTGTTGTTTCTTCAAAATATTCTTAAATGCCTTTTTCTTGTTGTTCATCTTTAAATGAACATCTTAGCCTCTAGTAAGAAGGCTGCTTTTCAACATTAATGCAGATAATTTCTACAGTGCCTGCCCCTATTCAACTTTTCAACATTATTGCAGATAATTTCTACAGTGCCTGCCCCTATTCAACTTTTCAACATTAATGCAGATAATTTCTACAGTGCCTGCCCCTATTCAACTTTTCAACATTATTGCAGATAATTTCTACAGTGCCTACCCCCATACAATACAGGTCTAGGTACTTTACAGTACTTTCATCTTAATACAAAATACAAGTGCTCAAATGTAAGGAAAATATACATGCCTGAGGCTAGGAGAAGGAGAACTTGTAGTAAGGGAAATATACATGGCTGAGGCTAGAGGAAGGAGAACTTGTAAGGGAAATGTATATGGCTGGCGCTAGGGGAAGGAGAACTTGTAAGGGAAATATACATGGCTGGGGCTAGGGGAAGGAGAACTTGTAAGGGAAATATACATGGCTGGGGCTAGGGGAAGGAAAACTTGTAAGGGAAATATACATGGCTGGGGCTAGGGGAAGGAGAACTTGTAAGGGAAATATACATGGCTCGGGGAAGGAGAACTTGTAAGGGAAGTGTGTTTCTTTTTCCTCAAACTATCACACTTATTGTGTCAGTGTGCTTCTCTTTAATCAAGACTAAAACAATGATGAATGATGACAATGAAATAAATGTTTAATAAATGCCTTCTCCTGTCATATTTGTGTGCTATCTGTTTATTGATGAAAAAGACATTACTTTTCTACCCACCCCCGCGGGTGGTTGGCAGATGCTCTGGTGTGGTTGGCTCCTTCTTTTCTATTAAACATCTATCCTCCTCCTTCTTTTTTGTGTTTGTTACTCTCTTGTAACACCTCTAATCTTCGGCACTGATATGACCATATTGTGTTGCAAGTACTGTAAAACTCTTACTAAAACAAACGACTCCA